TGACCTTGCGACACACTCATCGATGTCTATAGATATAGAGCCGACAAACAATTGACGAAAATATATAAAAGATTTAAAAGGTCAGTAGCATTACTTGATATTCATATTTGATTTGGACAGCATTAATATTTGTTGTTGAGAACATCAAACAGGTTTCTGTAGCCATACGACAGTCTTTCCTATAAAGGATGAATGAAATCAACAAACAGAGATGAGTAAATTGATCCAATTGATGCAAAAACACTTTGGTGATCAAGAACAAAATTTTTTAATGTGGTTTCGTCCATATATATATCTCTGCCCACGCACAGTTTCAAAACAAAAAAAAAACAAAAAAAATACACAAATAAATAAAAGCAAAATTATCGTACCAAAAAAAAAAAACAAAAAACAAAAAGCACCAACAACTGTAAAACAACAATAATTGGGTAGGCCTCCTTCACATGCTGTTCTTAATATTGTAAACGTAGTTTTTGTTTTCTCATGACTACACATCATCTTTGCCTTTTACAGACTGAAAAAAATGTATTCAAAATGAATCGATCAACAACCACCTTGTAAGTCCTATGTTTCTAAGATAAACAAGTTTTAGCAATAGTGATTCAGAAAATTATGTAGACAGGTTTATTTCACATTTGACCACAGGTACCCAAACATCATGATAAATATCAAAGAGGATAGTAACGTAATGGCATAATTACCAATAGTGACTCAGAAAATAATGTGGACACGTATACTTAACTTTTAACCACAGGGAATCCAAACATCATGAAAATGTCAAAAATGATAGTACCGTAATGGAAAAAGATGAATACGAATGGATAGAAAATGACTCGTTGGTTATGTTTGAAGGCTTTTGTCGCAAATTTCCTTAAGCAATGTCGTTTATTAAGGGGATTTTTTTTTATTATTCTTAGCCTCGGTTTCTTATTAGCGAATTTTTGACATGCGTGGTTATCATCACCAGAAGTTTATTTGGATTGGCCCTAAATCAGAAAATGTTATTCTTGGGGTCATAAGTGTTGCGGCAAAGTTTCATGCTTTCATCACTAATTTGAACAATTCAGTGTTATTTTGTCGATAACAGCGGACTACACGAGGAGGCACAAGCACTATGTTTTCTCTTTATCATTATTTAATTTAATTAATTTATTTATTTATTTTGCGACCCACGGTTTTCCTTAGTTGCTGCCAAAATAATTTCCGTTACCAACACAGAGTAAAAGCTATAGAATGTTTAAGATCATCTAGAACCCAGCGTTTGCTTTAGGACTGCCCGTGTCAAGAAAAGCGGATCAGCTTAGAGTTGAGCAAGCTTTGTTTAACGATTAACAATGACAGCTTTAAAATACAGGCGGAATTTTTCAAAATTTCCAATTATCATACGAGCGGCAGATTTAAACCATCGGCAAAACTGATGATAAGACAAATCCTCCCCGTGGGGGTGATTCTGGTAGTTTTTTTTAGGATGCAAATAGGCACCGTGGTCCGTGGGGTAGATGGTGGGGCGACTGTAGCTTTCGTATCTGAAGTAAAGAGATGTCACCGTTTTTTCCTTTATATTGCTTAAAACTGGCGAAAGATATATTCAATTAGAGGCTCACTGTGCGATGCAAAGGTAATGAGGGCATGTGTAACCTGGTATTAACGTCCGAAGCCTACCACGCCGTTGAATCATGTAGAAGACTATCGTCATTTGCTCGATTCATTAATGTGCGTGTATTTAAATTTCGCGCAGCGTGAATCAGATTTTGTTCCTGATGTGCACAAAAAGGTTCATGTTTTCCTTCTTCTAGCGTGTGATTTAAACCTGGTAATAACGTTCGAAGCCTCGCGCGTCGTTAATTCATGTAGTTTGATGGGCATCATTCTCTTTCCGTGTTTCAATTCAATGAAAGGAGTTAAAAAACAATGGCGAGTGGAAATAGTCGCATGCGCTCGTCAATTTCTCCCATTTGACTCGAGTGTTCAATCCGAGTATATTTAAATTTCGCGCTTCGCAAGCACGGAAAACTGAATAATCTCCTCCCACAATTTTTTTTGTGTTTACACAAACCAACATCTATAGATACATATTCATCCTTTTGTGTGAGAGCAGGAGGTGAAATTTTTTTCGCATAGTCATGTTCTGCTCGTTTCTTTCTTTTTTTTTTTTTTTTGCTCAACGGGTTCCGTGTATATTCAATCACGTTACTGACGCTGTCAAATTCATCTACCAAATTATTGGGCAATCAAATTTCGTGCTACGAAAGTTATCCTATTTTCCCAGTCTGCATAAAGTGCTGCGCAATCGCCTCCCATAATTTGCTTTCGCGCCATATTGAAAACAAACACAAAGTCATAACATCCGTATTCTGCAAAGGGAATAATTGGGTAAACGGTTGATAGCTTTATAATTTTAATTAAGACTGTTAGAATCCGTCGTAAAACTATGTTAGTTCAAGCAAGACCAGTTTTTTTCTCCGAAAGAGAATATAAAACAAAACAAAAAAAATTCGCAACTTCTCCATTGTGAAACTCGTGAGTAAAAATATCACACCATCGTCGCCGCGCGTTTGATTGAAAACGAGAATAACTTAAAATAGATGTTCTCTCAAAAACTAGATATAATTTCCTCGGTCAGTACATCTTGTGTCATCAACATCGTTGCAAGAATTCTGTGCTTCTGTAAAAAAGGAATCCCCTTCTTAGGCAGACATGTTGGTTCTAGAAAGTGAGTGCCTCCTTAGAAAACAGCTGTGCGCCAGCGCCTGCTCTCTGCGAAAATTTGGGGAAGCTGTTGATAGCTCCTTACTTTTAACAAAGATTGTTAGAATCCGCTGTAAAACTCTGATAGTTTTTAATGGGAGAGACTTACTTTTAAGCAAGTCCCGTTTTTTCAAAAGTAAATAAAAAACCTCGCACCTTCTTTATTGTGAGACTTGTGAGTGAAAAAATATCACACCCTCATCTTGTCATGCATTTGATTAAAAACGAAAATAACTCAAATACATGCTCTCTACATGCGGCCCACCCTGCACATGATTTCCTCTCCAGGTCATTTTTACTCATGCGTTATTAAGAAAAATTCGCCTTAGAAGACAAAACGGGAAAATTTATCAAGTAATAGATTCCCGAGTTTCCTGTAGACATATTTAAAATTCCCAATCAAATTCACAATCCCATCCCGGAAAATCCAATGTCATGCTATTAGGATCACGACCTGCCCTTACAGCTGCAATTGACACTATCATTGACATTTACCTACAAGATCAAAGATTGAATGAAGTAGACTCCTATAAATATTTAGGTGTATATGTAGATAGAAATCTATCTTGGGATTATCACATGAAATATATCTGCCAGAGAGTATACCCAAAGCTAAGAATGCTAAACAGAATTTCTAGCTTTTTATCTCAGGATATTTTATTGTTAATTTATAAGCAAAACATTTTACCCATCATAGATTATGGGTCAATGACGTGGTTAGTTTGTTCTAAAACAGTATCTTTAAAGATTGAGCGATTGCAGAACCATGCCATGCGTTCAATATTGAATACCAATAGGAAAACTTGCTCACAAAAAATGCGATATAAGTTAGGTCTTCTTACTTTAGGAAATCGTAGGCGTTTTTTGCGTGCCGTATTGTCTTTTAAGATTGTACATAATCTTAGTTGCCCTGATCAACTGGTGGATTATCTTATACGTAGATCTCGTATGCATGATAGAAATTTACGTGATGAGACTTTATTGCATCTTTCCAGGGTCAACACGAAAACTGGCCAAACAACTTTTCAGTATTCTACAACAGCAGATCGGAATAGTTTTCCCAAATGCATTGGGGATATAACCTCTTTGAAGAGATTTAAGACTGAGTTATATGGTTATTTTAGAGATTTAGATGTTGAATCGCATCATTGTTCGCTAGCTAAGTTTTATGGTTGATTTTTCTCCAGTAGTCGATATTTTATTCATAGAAATAGAAGTTATAGAGTATTTTATTATAGCTACACATGGGTTAATACCAGCTTTTATTACGGTACTAGCTGATCCATTTTGTAGGGTAACTAAAGTTATTATTATCATATTATTACAATATCTCTGACTAAGAGCGTCATCTGGTTTTTGTGTTTGGCTTGAATAAATATGTTTGTAGAGTAATAATTATTTTCGTATTTCACCTGTGCGCCTCCGTGACAAACACTTTTCATTAGGATTTTTGACATGTTCATGCTACTAGAATTGTTTTTTGTCCGAAAACGTTTCGATGGACCTGATACCCACAAGGTTCAACCAGAAATTGTACTTTCCGTGGCATATTTTTCTCCAACATCTTGGGGCTTTTAGTTATAGGACCAATCACAGCGAAAAAATCAGACGATACTTTAAAGATTCGACACACTGCGGCAACAATAAACTTTATTGAAACTGTGAATTAACTACCATGTTCTAACCGTTTTTAGCAAATTACGCTAAAAAACGGGCATTAATTAACAAATAGAGAAGCATTGGCTGTGCTCTGTTCTGTTATAAAGTACGTAGGAAGCGGCTAGAGCACGAAAGAAGTGTAGGGAGAAACGCGAGACGTAGTCGTTTTAATAACGTAAATTACGGCGCCTGGTATGTTTACAAACCTTTGTTTGATTCTTCTGTTGCTACTTGACGGCTCGCTCAGTTCCGAAATTTCACTTTCAATTATCGGGAAAAAGCTAAAAAGAAGTCCCGGAAAAGCTCGAACATAGTACAGTTTGGCAGATGGCGTGACAGCTTTAGCTCAGCTCTATGCTCCATACTCTCATAGAGCACGCTCTTTCAACCAATGACAGTGCGCGTTATATCCGAACTTTATTATAAATTAAATTGAATTAAATGAATTTCATATCTCTTTAACAGTTTAAATGTGTGATTACTGTATATTTAGGGCTTTTTCACGACCGTTTGCCTGGACTGTTTTGTCGGAATAAGATGTCTCCAAGGTGAAACAAGCGTGGTTCACGGACTTTAAACAACAAAGTATAGTTTTATTGCACCAATATGTACCCCATGGCTTTGATACTCTTGTGTCCATTATCTGAAGTTCCATTCGGTGCCTCGTTTCCACAAGATTTTGCGTTATTAAGGTGACTTCCCGTACCAAATCCAATCAAAGAGTCACACGAGTGGCAGTCGTTCTGGTCATTGCTAACAATACCAATTCTGACTTTAGAACGATCAGTTCGACCACTAAAGGCATTGAATCCTTCCTTGTTACAGTTGTGCTGTAAAGAGGCGTTGCTGCCAATCAACTTTTTCCACCCGTCACGACCCAGCGACGTGCTTCGGTATTGGCCATCAGCAATTATTGAGTGCAGAGAGTCAGCCAGCCTGTTGACAACAATAAATCTGAGCTTTTGGTTGATCTTCATTCCAAGACAGATCTTGGAGAAGGATGTGTTCCAGTAGGTGGGTAGCTTTGATTCTTGTTCGTCAAACCCAGTCTCTCCTCCTGAAGGGTTGTACTCGTTTTTATCAGTCCAGTAAGATTTTTCAAAACGGAAGGTTTTCTGAAAAAGGATAAGAGCTCATTTGTTCTCGTTTTGTAAATAATATCAGTAATTACAATAACAAGCAATTTGACCTTTATCTGTTGCTTCAAAAGAAAGCTGTTGTTTAGTCGGTCTGATCAAAACCATAAGATAAGATTCTAGTCGGGATCACTAATTATAACTATAAAATAACCACACTTTGTTAAATGGATATTTAATGATGCATTAATTTTTTTTCATCGCAATTACTCCAATAACCTGCATGGTAACGGAAGGTGGTCTGAAATAGAGAAGCAACTAATTTTTAAATTTTTTTTCTCCGAATTGATGGGTTTTCTGCTGTCGACGTCCTGTAGTGGATCTGCTTTTAACCGAATTATGATCCCGATGGTTTATATTTCTTATCTAGCTGTTACATGATACCAGAGACAAATATGTTAAGATAATTAAGACATTCTTTTTCAGTCACTACACACAAGTTTTGAAATTTACGTTGAACAACGTCTGTTCTTCGTGCATTACCTTCTCGATTAAAAAAAAAGGCACACATGTGGAACAGGCACGTTTTTTAACTTGAAAAGTTTTTAAAGAGAGCGAGTTTATGCACCAGATGAATTATTTAATAAAAGTATGCACCTCTCTGCCGTCAATTTTCATGACTGGCGTCCATCCTCCATCTCCACACCCAAAATTTCCCATGTGACAAAAAACGGACAATGGTTGGGAGTCAACAAGAAGGGTAACCACACCACTCACATTGGTTCTTTTGAATCAAAATGAAAAAAAAAAAAAAAAAAAAAAAAAAGGAATACAACTAATAATAAAAACAATGATGATGAAATAAAACTTGAGGTTATAAAAATAGTTATCATAGCTACAACGGTGACAATGAAAATGATAATGGGAAAGATACTGAGTGATAATAACAATAATGATTCAACAAATAAGCAAATGAAAAGTTGATCCTTCAGCAAAAGACGACGTCAACAACTGCAGAATATAAACAGCAGCCTTTGTAGCAACAAGGCTTGATTATTTATCCTGGAATTAAACAGGTTTCTGGGGGCAAAGGATATTTTTCACTTCTGTGAGGACAGTAATACACTCCACCAAAGTGAATTTAATTTAGACGGACTTTCTTCGCGTATGGAATGTGGCTTGAAAATTGGGTTATATTCGGTGACGTGATGGACTTAATAATAATAGATAATAAATAATCGGATATCAATTCTACTTACATATCCTTGTCATAAATTTCTTTACACGAAGTAGCTTCTGGAAGTAGTTTAAAAATACCTTTGATTAGAATTATAAAATTATATTGTCTCTCGTGTGTTAGTCTTTTTTTTCTTCCTGGCTGAACTGAAACATTTTCTTTTCTAGAGGACTTTCTTGGGTAGCATGCATGCATATTACTTCAAATCCCACAAAAGAAGAGAGGGTATCATTATCATTGATAATAATTATTTCCATCCAGTCTTTAAAGTTACTAATTAATTGATGGCTCTCCAAGTAACTAAAGTAACTTGTCTTTGAAGAGTGATTAATCATTCTGCTCTTTTCCCTGCTCAAATTTCATGGTATCAACCCACGAATTACTCTTCTCTCTTATCATAAGAGTTGTCTGATTTCATATATTTGTGAATTCATGCGCTGTTTGCTATGTGTTTTGCGTTACGCGTTATGGCTACTGCAGTGCGTTGACATTTTCATCAGAAGGTTCTTTCATAGGAACCCCTCTTAACTTAATGTTTACAAAAGTCAACGTTTGCATGTACCTTTGCATCCTCGGCCATTCCCAGTGAATCCGGGCTTGCATGCGCAGTAGTAAGACCCTTTGGTATTGTTGCAAAAGGCATGGGGACTGCAATTGTGAATCCCTTTGGCACACTCATCGATGTCTGAAGACAACAAAAGAAACAGGAAGCGAAGGAAACAAACAGATGAATTAGTGGGTCAGGTGGAATTGCAGGTAATCATTTGCTTTTCTTTTCAATCTCATTAGTACTAAATCAAATGTATTCGTATGTAGGTTCATTGTAGTTATATTTTAATCCACTTCACTTACCCACAATTAGAATTACTTTTCAAATCTTAGACGCCAGTTTCAGATTTAAGAAAAAAGCATGTAAGTTTACTTTCCTCTGTGTGTCTCTCTCTTTCATTCTCTTTTTCGTTTTTTTTTTTGTTGTTGCTTAGAAATGAAGATGTAAATGACACATGTTCATGTAGTTAGTGTTCGACTTGAATGCTTCTTAGTAATTGAATTGAAGATCTCACTTGAACGATATAAAAGATTTTTTTGTTTACCTGTTTGGCACCTCGGACCTTTGTATCCGGCAGGACATAGACACTGATAAAGTTTGTCTGTAAAACTGCTTCGACAAGTGGCGTTGTTCGCGCAAGGATTGTCAGCACACATGTTCTTCCGAAGAAAGAGAGAGATAAAAAACAACTTTCACGCTCAGTATAACACGACTCAGCCCAAACAGCGTACTATGCAAGGGTGTTGAAAAGTCACTAATGAGCTGCTTTTGCAATATTCACTTAAGAGAAACTTATACAATAGCCATTCGATTCAAAGATTGTTTTTCTGTGGAGTTAGGTCGTGGTTGGCACACCTAAGAATATGAAGGGATGAACAAATGAAATGAGTGAATAGAGAAGTAAGCGAATTAACGAGAGAGCGAGTGAAATGATAATCGGAAAAAGCACATCTTATTCAGTCTTGAAGGAAGACGAACGTTCACACCGAAAGAAGGCGCGGGTAATTATTTTAATCCCAAAAGAAGTTACTGATTATTCATCTTGGATGACGCTTCCTTAATTAAGGCTGCAATTAATATATTATAGAGTGTTTCCCCGGACAGGCTGCTTTGAAATATGAAAAAACACAGAAGAGAGTCCTTACCACGATGTGATAGTGATATGAGCTTTCGTTTTGTCTGAATTCCTTGGGGTTGCTGTACTTATCAGATGACAATAACTCGCACCACAGTCTTATTTCGAGGGCCAAGTTCACAGAAATACAAGAAGGATGTTGAAGGCATCTCATGGTACACTCCAAGTCATCGTGCACCGAGAAAATTCCAACTCGAGGCACATTCAAATAACGGAACTCATCTATAGAAAACAGACCTCGTCTAACGTCTGTTACTCGGTGGTCCGCGGTGTTGTTTTCTGATGATGGGGTCAATGGAGCATTTTCAGCGAATAGCTAAATACATCTGTTACAATTTTTTAATGAGGTACTCTATTTATAATTTAGCAAATAATTTGTTCCGTTACTTATTCAATCACAACTCTTCCCAAAAACTGCGAGGGTAATGCATATTAAAGAAGTTAGTAAATACCACACCTTTTTCTTAAATGCGAATTTGATCTTAGGGGCGTATACATAAATGTTGTAATATCTTTTCGGTCTTTCCTGCAAACGCTTCCCTAAAAAGCGCTCTCTCTTTTACGCTGCACAATTAATATCATTTTTCTTTCAAAATTTGGAAAGTTAAACTACAAACTACACTTTTATGTCAATGAGACTCAGTAAACTATAAGACCGCGAGACAGCTCTAGTCTCAACTATGATAATCTGCAGAAAAGAAGTGTTTCCTTGTGTTTTTCAGTCGATCGGAGGCAAGCGTGAGGCAGCGCGAAGGACGGATAACACGCAAAGTGAGAGACGAAAAAAGAAACTGAATAACTAGTTTAGTAGAGAGGATTTTTTTTTCTCTAACTGAATGTTACATATCTCACAACCATACACTTGAGTACCGCTCTCGCTAAGAGCGGTCCTCTCGACTTCCTGTCGATAGTAAAGGTTTTTTTTTTTTTTTTTTTTGCCCATGAAAAGGGTTTAAGGCGTATTTCAAAAATAGTTGTGTCGCCACAAGCCAAAGTTTATTTTTGGTTGGACCACCCACTTTTTAAGAAATAATTCTTTAATAAATACAGGCGTAAATCGGGCCAAAAAGGCGTATTAGTGCACCGATTGCCTTAGAACCGTGGATATCTCTCTAACTTTCATTCACTAACATCTTTAAAACAACGCAAATCCGCGTGTTTGCTCAATTGCGCTCGAGATATCACTATGACCATTTAAACTTTGGTTTTTTTATCTTCTACGTTGAAGATTTTAGGTTTTTATAATAACTGGATAGAAAATAGACCCCAAGTTGTCCTGAAACGTCGCATGAACATGATCCGTGTGGTAACGCTTCCTTGACTTACAAAGTAAACAAAGGTGACTGGATGGCGACTCCTCGATAATTATCGTTGAAACAGGCCATGAGCCACGCACAGTGTGGAAAAGATCAAAAATTAAAAATTGACACTCTGGTCTTTACAGACATTCCGCGTAGCTTACAGGGACACAGAATCAAGCAAAAATATGTTTCGGCGTTATTTACGAAACAAGACGCATACACCCTGAAAGAATTCTTGCATTTCCTTCTGATAATTTGCACACGGAACGCAATGAATTAGCCCTCCTTTCTGGAAATTTTTTTCCATCATTAATTATTTAATGCCGTTATGGACCACGACATTCTCCAGTGACATACTAAACATTTCCGTGGACCATCAAAACCTAATAAAAAAATATCCGGCTTGATGTATAGCATGACGTGATTATGCTAATTTGTTTCCATCTTTTGGTGGTATAAAAAGTGAAACCAAACACCAGCTAATGCAACGAATTAGAATCTAAAGTTATACAATGAATTGGAGAATTTTACATCTTACTAATAATTTCATCTCTCGAGATGTTTACCTGTTTCATGGAAGGCAAATATTATAGTGGCTGCGGGAGATGGTTGCAAACATTGTAATGGATTACAAGCAATTACAGACTATCGAGATTGTTGCGTAGACTATCCTAAAAGGTGTTTAGTGAACGGCATGAGTCTCTTAGCCGAGACGAAACCCTAAGTTTATATTCAAAACAGAAGAATATGGAAAGCTTATAGTTTGAGAAATTCTGTTGGTCAGCATGTCATGTGATCACGTCGCGTGTAATAAACAAACCTAACTGTAGATAGAAATATGAGAGATGGTAAGATTTTTCTTTCTCTAAACCAAACTGTCTTCAACAAAACTCTTTCTACTGGATAACAGTCGAACTAACGCTTGTGTGAAAGTCTATCCTGGTGTTTACCCAGCTTAAAAGATAGGAGTCCAGTTAAAGAAGGTGTTTTGGGAGATATTTCATTCCTCTGTTAAACAGGCGAGCTTAAATTTGACAGTTCCGCTTTTTTCTTTCGTCTAACGGTTGTGTTTTTGATAAAGCTAATAATAATTCTAAATTAACACCTCACTAAGTAAGTGAAATAGGACGAGCTCGAATTTGACAGTTCGGCTTTCCTCTTTCGCCTAACTGATATAAACTGTAGACTTTCTTAAGAGAATCTTTTAAAAGTACCATTTGAACGGCTAAGCTGAGAATCGGAATCTCCGAGGAAAACAAAACAGTTAAAAGTGGCAATTGCGTCGGCAAAGGAATATGCATACGATGCAATGGCAGCCGAACGGATTTTGAGAAGCTCTCTAAAAGTTTTAGCCTTTCTGTTCACAGTTGTATTTATAATTCAGGATAATATCATCACATTCAAGAAACAAGACCCTGGTGTCCCACAGACGGTTTCAACATCACTCGAGGTGCTGGGGCTTGCCTCCCACTCAACTCTTCGACTGAATGGCAGGTTTAAATCTCGCACCAGGCGCTTTCTGGCACTCAGAGTGCAATAGACCGTCAAAGAGAAAAGCAGCTTTAAATTGCAGAGAAATTCGATGGTATGTGGGGATATATCGTCCAATCGTGGTCCTAAAAGAACGAAGATTTCGCCAAAATACCCATGCGGTGAAGGGTGTAACAAAAGTTGAGACCTAAGACCTAAGACCTAAGACCTAAGACCTAAGACCTAAGACCTAAGACCTAAGACCTAAGACCTAAGACCTAAGACCTAAGACCTAAGACCTAAGACCTAAGACCTAAGACCTAAGACCTAAGACCTAAGACCTAAGACCTAAGACCTAAGACCTAAGACCTAAGACCTAAGACCTAAGACCTAAGACCTAAGACCTAAGACCTAAGACCTAAGACCTAAGACCTAAGACCTAAGACCTAAGACCTAAGACCTAAGACCTAAGACCTAAGACCTAAGACCTAAGACCTAAGACCTAAGACCTAAGACCTAAGACCTAAGACCTAAGAGGTGATCTTTACAACCTAGAGGAGCTACAACTAGGGGGATTTACTTGATGTGTTTATTACATGCAGGCTATTGAGCTGCAAAATTAAACGTTGAATATAGATAAGTAAACTTTTCACTTCTAGATTTACACCGTCTATTTAATTCAGAAAGAAAAAGTGAGTTTTCTGTTTCTCTTCTCTCGTTGAATACAATTCACCACTTATTAGTGAGAACGGGGCCTGAGTTACCGAGTGCGTAATTAACAGTGACTTACGTCAGCGAAGCAGAGAATGCTTGTGCGCGTTTCGAGCGAAAGGCCGTTTTAATGGATTCTGCTAGAATAAGTTGCCTGTTTTCAATTTTCGGGAAACTTTAAACGCAATTTTTAAGGTCAATATTTCCGATCGCGGCTATCGTGCGTGACTACCGGTACTATTTTTCAAGCAGTCAGTAGTTAAAAGGACAACAGTTCATGACCAGCTCAGTTCATCTTCTTTCGCGTGGTAGAGCTTTTTTTTACTTTCCACAATACGTTTGGGACGTTGGATATGTTGTGATTTGTCCAGTTATACCTTTTTCTGGAGGTCGGTTCTCGCCTTGTCATAGATCATTTGTTATGGCGCACAAAACTTAAGGTCAACGGGGTCATGTTGCATGAACTTTGATTAGATCATCATATTTGCATATTTTTAACATGCGGCATGTATGACCATGACTGATTCTTGGGTCTTATTATCTCTTACAAATACAATAGGCCATGAATCAGTTATTCGAAACCCACTCATTTCTTTGGAAACCCGTGAACGATGGCGATTTTATTTCAAGTAAGTCCATGGGGCGTGTCTCAGGCAATCAACATTTGGCTATTCCCAAACAAATGCAAAGGCTTTTTGTTGAATTTCTTGTCCTGTGGTATGCTCAACGCGTGGTGCGCTAAGCTTGTGCTCAAAACATGTCGTTTAAATTTCCACGGCCGAAACCAAAGCATCCTCAAAGAAGTGTTTTTGATGGCCTGCCGCCATGGTGAAATTTTTATACAATATGACTTATATAAGATTACAGAAACTGATTGAAATTTACTTTACATTCAAATGGTATAGGTGATTGTGTGAAGATAAAAAATGGGTTTTATGTACAAGATATCTAATCGCTTGGAGATGTAATCGTTTTGGAATAAATTTAGATATAGCATGGATATCATAAATCTTCGTAATAGCGTTGGGGGGAAAACTGCAAATGGAAAAACGTTGTGCGTGTTATTAGTTTTCATTTCTACTTTAGTAGAAAGGCCCGCCTCATCTAGGGCGGATGGGATCTAGGAGTAATAATGGAACAAGAAAAAAACCAAGAAAAACTTGAATGAAACAAAGGATATGACAAAACATTTACCTGGAGAACAGTTAGCTGCAGTGAAAATAGAAGGCAAGAGAAAGGAAATGAGGTCATGGATAACGAGTAAAGTTTGTCAGTAAAGTTTGTCGGCAAACTTTGTCAGTAAACTTTGTTTGTGAATAAATATTTTCTATTTAAATTTTGCTCGCTTACCATTGCGTGACAATCTCAGAAAAACAGGAAATCAATGATGCAACAGGAAATTTCTCCGAAGAAATGTGTCACAGCATTTTATTTCATACGACAATGTTAGAAACTAATTTTTTAACCAGTCCAATGCTTACATTGTATTTTTTTCCTGTTTTTTCATAATAATTTTTAAGCATATCTTAAGAAATACAAATTTTGACCATTGTGTAATTTCTGTGGGTACTCAAGATCAACTTCTTCTCTGTATTCAGCTAAATTGACTTTATCAATAGCTTTTTCACTCAACCCTTTAAAACGAAAAGTTGAAATGAACCTTGTGACCTGACAGCCTTAGGTATCATAAAGCAGAGCTCCAATAAAAAAAGGGAGACAGAAACAGAATACATGATACGGAGCACGATTAGAAAAGTTCTGGCCATTTAAACGTTTGCCTGAAACAGTAGAAATTAGGCTGTCGCCGGTTAAACCATTGGGTGTCAAACTGTTTCGTACGTCAACTGTTCTGTGTTACTTTATACACGTACAAATGTTTGCTTAGAATGCTGCTCAGTTCAGCAATAATTTGGCTGTCAATTGCCATAAAAAAAGTTTGTCACATTATTCTGCGAAGTGACATGCTATCATAAAAAAAGCCGATAAATAACAGTTGTAATTATGCAGCCGTGTTACACGATAGCCAATTCACTTCCACGAAACTTTTCATATCCATACTGTCGCATGGTAAAAGGTAAATGGAATTTCCTTAATGATACGCACGCTGATATTCAAACCGTTTGTGCTGAATTAAGATAAATTGGACATGAAAGAATTGGTTTAAACGAGGTGGTCTCCAAAAATATAGGTCACCGGACTTTCCTACAATTCTGCATTCAAAACAAAATCGAGCAGACGTTTAGACCGGAAAAGCTCGCAAAATTTCTGTATCATAATATTATTAACTAAATTGGTTCTTCGTTGAAAATCTGCGCGTTAAAGAATTGCAGATATGTAAAGCTAGTTCGTGGAAATGAAGAATTTATTTGATGACTTACTAATTTTTCACTTCTACACATGCACAACAGCTGGCATTTTGAATCTTTGTTAAATTATCATACAAACATTGTTTACTTTGGTACTGGTAAGAACTTCCTGCGTGTCAATATATTCATTCTCCACAATTTTCAGCTACTGTTTAACAAATAGAGAAGCCTTGACTGCGCTCTGTTCTATTATTAAGCACTCAGGAAGCGGCTAGAGCATGGAAAAAGTGTAGGGAGAAACACTTGACTACGTCTCGTGTTTCTCCCTACTTTAAAACAGAGCAGAGCACAGTCAAGGCTTCTCTATTTATTTTATGGTAAAGAATCTGTTAAATTCCCCACGCATTACAATCAGTCAAAACAAAGTTTATGTCAAAAGCGAACAACAGTGTCGTCAGCACGCTCTCTACTCTCACTAAGCACGCTACAATAAGCCAATCAAAATCCTTTTTTAGAATGGTTCAAATAATCGAATTAGTCGACCAAACGACCAAGTCGCTTGGTCGATTAGTCAGCCGCAAATTAATGCAGCTGTTGGGCGTAGAACTGACAGATGTCTACCGTCAGTCGTAAACAAAGTTAACTGTAAAAGTTCAATGTTTTAGACTTGGCGGAAAGAAATTAAATGGTAGCCTTAATAAAGCCAAAATTTTTACCGTTAGTTATAAAAGCCATCACCCCACTGAGACCTACTAGCAAACAAAGTTATATGTTATTGCGGAAATGAAAAAAAAAACTTATAATATTAAAATTATAGTTATAATATGAAGACCAAACGGAAATTGGAAGACATTATCGATGATTTACGGGAGGAGCTATGGTGGTCATCCGTTAAGAGTGGGAACTCCAGGCATATAAGACTGGAGTCAAGTTATAGTTCTTACTCTTACAAGTACAGCATTTCCACCCACCCGTGCGTCGAACTATTTGATATGCTGCTGAACGTGTTTTGGCCGGCTTGTTATAAATGTAAACAATAATATTTTAAACGACTTTGAGTACATGAAAATCATTATTGTATAGTTACAACAAAGGGAAGCTATTCCTCGTGTTGCCACATGCGCCTATTTTAATAAATTAAATATAGAACCAGGCACAAATTTAACTAGCTTTTTCTCTATCTTTTGATGCAATCGACACCACATTTGATTTGCTCAACTACATTGGACGTTCAACGTCTATGCTACTGCACAGAAAACATTGATGCAATTTCGAGGAAAACAGCTCTGAACAGGCGGCTGCTTTAATTTTGGCATGGACCTACCCGCTCTGTTTGTTAACCAGCATCACTATGTTCGAAGGTAAATAAGAAATTGAATGCTTTTAAAGACCGTTTAGGTATTTGCGTATTGAGAAGCGATTTTTTTTCAGCTTCTGCGGGCTGCACAGTACAATTAGTAAACATGATATTCTAAATAGCTTTTAATCTGAGGCAGATTGAGGAAAGTTGAAAGAATTTCTTACAAGAGGGTCTTAATGGGGCTAATTGTTAAAAGATAAACGACAAAACAAATTAGACGAAAATACTGACAAATTTTAACCATAAGAGTAAAAAAAATCTTCTTGTAAGAAAATACGAAAATAAGAAAGGACTGAACAAACCGAAACAAGGATGAGAATATTGATGAAAAATAACATTCAGCAGACAGTGCAAGCAAAGTATTGTTCAAAACTGGGGCCCAAGAAAGTGCGTGGAAATGCGACCTATTAATATGTTTTTCCCAAAACGCAATGCTATGAAGATTTTTCGAGTGAGTCATTAAATTGCTATTGTTCTCAGGTCATGAATCACCAGCAAAGTTTGTCAGTAAACTTTGTTAGTATATAAATATTTTCTATTTTAATTTAGCTCGCTTACCATTGCGTGACAATCTCAGAAAAACAGGAAATCAACGATGCAATAAGAACTTTCTCCGAAGAAATGAGTCACAGCATTTTATTTCATACGACAATGTTAGAACTAGTTTTTTAACCTGTGCGATGCTTACTTTGTATTTCTTTCCTGTTTTTTTTCTCATAAGCGTATCTTGAGAAATACAAATTTTGACTATCGTGTAATTTCTGTGGGTACTCAAGATCAACTTCAGGAATTAATCATTATTCATTTTCTTCTCTGTATTCAGCTAAATTGACTTTGTCAATAGCTTTTTCACTCAACCCTTTAAAAAAACATCAGTTGAAAGATACCGACTCTTAGCCAAACTTTATAGCTTATTAGGATTACTTAATTAATGCACATTCGTACACGAAAATGTCATATTTCTTCAAAGTACTATCTGTGCGTTGATAACTGAATATTTTAACGACAATTCTTCATTTACTATAGGTGGATAAAGGTAACTTTCTGTCTTAATGACGAATTCTTATTATTAAATAAAACGTTTCCCAAAAAAAAAAAACCAATACTCGAACCAAAGGTAAACATAAATTGGATGTAAGTCATACTGAAACTAAGTTAGTCATACTAAACTAACCTTGTGATCCGACAGCCCTTTGTATCATAAAGCAGAGCTCCAATAAGAGAAGGGATACAGAAACAGAATACATGATACAGAAAACGATTAGAAAAATTCTGGTCAAGAAACGAATTCTTTACTTAATATTACTTATCATGACACGGGAAGTTTGAAACAATGGAAATTAGGCTGTCGCTGGTTAAACCAATAGTAGTCAAATTATTTCGTATGTCAGCTGTTGTGCCTTAGTTTCTACCAATAAAAATGTTTGTTTAGAATGCTGCTCGGTTCAGCAATAAATTTGCCTGTCAATGGCCATAATTAAGTTCTTTCACATCATTTTGTGGCGAAATCTTTCATATCCATACTGTCGTCTCATTTTAGGAATGATAAATCAAATTTGGTAAATGATAAGCACACTGATATTTAAACCGTTTGTGCTGAATTAGGATAAATTAGACCTGAAAGAATTGTTTTAGGTCACGAACCTTCCTACAATTTTTTTTTTCATAACAAAATCGATAGGACTTTTAGACCGGTAAAGCTCGCAAAAGTTCTATGTCATAATGTAATTGACTAAATTGGCTCGTCGTTGAAAATGCGTGCGTTAACTAAATGGATAGATGTAAACCTAGTTTGTGAAAATGAAGAATTCATTTGATGGTTTCCTAGGTTATCGCTTTTACACAACAGCTGGCATTGTGAAACTTTGCCAAATTATCATGCAACCACTGTTTATTTTGGTGGTGGTAAGAACTTCCTGTGTGTCATGATATTCGTGATGGATAAGTTTTGATTATTATGCAGCCTTGTTACAAGCTAAGTCAGCCAATTCACCTCCGCGACACCTTTCATATCCATATTTCTATCAATATTTCCGTCTTCCCCTTTTTTTCGCTGAAAGATATGTACAACAGCTGGGATTGTGATGCTTTGTTGAATTACCTTAACAATGTTTATTTTGGTTCTCTGGTAAGAACTTCCTGTGAATCATGTTCCTTCTCCATTATTTACTGCTCTCGTCTGGCAATAAAGGCAATTAGAGGCAATGAATCAGCAGAAATTCATTTTCACAAGTTCAAATTAGCTTTGATATCTACACAATTTTCAAACTTTTCACTTGATATACACTAATACACGGTCTGACTTCTTATCTTCATTATCAAAAACTGGAATGATGTTGAGGTAGAAATTGCTGACTTTTTCTTGTAATTATTATTATTATTTTTATTATTATTGTGATCATTTTTAGTCTCAGGAGGGAGAAGTCCTACTTCGTAAGCCCTTAGCTTTTTTTTACCAATATAATTATCAAAACAAGCACCTCTTTCGGACCCTACAAGCAAACGTTCACTTATCGATAAGAAGTTCTAACGAACGAATTTGATTAAGTAAGTCCATTATATTCCGATTTTGTAACGAGTAGGAAGACAAAAAAAGAAATGAAGGTGGATTTTCAATTATCATAGAGTGGCATAGAAAATTAAAATGTGTTTCCGTTTATGGGAAGTTTCTTCAACATCGTGTTGGCGCAACGTTAAAAAACGACCGTACAAAAAATATAGAAGGAATATTTCTCTGCGAATGAAATCTTTGAGGAGAATCAGTTGATTTTTCTTTCTATTGGTGGTAGTCTTTTGGCATACCTTCAATGAATTTACATTCGTGTTTTCCCTCTGAAAATATTAATGTTGTCAAAATAATGTGCTCATGTTTCTTAATTTGTTTTGATCCCTTTTATTATTAAAGAGGTTATTTATATTGCTTTCGAGTTTAAGGCAGGTAGAGCAACAAACCTGTCTCCTTGGAGCTGTATTGTTGCTATGGTAGCCTTAATTTTTAGAAAACCAAACAGTTTAATCACAGTTTATTGGGCATTTTTGAACATCGATTTCAAGGAAACAAACAGAA